TCCGAGACAATTACAATTAAGAACATACATTCTTCTTTCATATATTTTCATGGTGGCAAATTGTAAAGTGTTTACAATCATAGGCCATGAAGAATATTATTGTCCAAATTTACAAAAAGGTCGAAACCCATCATTGCAAAAACCTAATCTAACATTCCTAATTTCGATACTTAAGAAGGATATGTTTAGTCAAAATGCTCGCCATGCAAAGGAGTTTGAACAATGACGTATGATGTCCGGCTTATAGACATGTTATGCATGCCACGTCATGTTGCCAAGCAGTGACACTCAATGTATACATCCTCTCGCAATTATGGGGTTATCAAAAAATAATACATTTTTTATATGAAACTTATATTTCTCTAATCGATCCCCACCTAGGGTTTCGATATCGAGGATGATCATATATTTTATAAGTGATTCTCTCGTTGTCTTCACCCCAATAAATCACGCAACCATTTATGTGACTCGTGGATCTTTTAAATAGGTAAACTCATCATTTTTATCGTTTTTTTTGTACTCGTAAAAGTCTTCGTGCATGTAATTATCGACATGCATCAATTCTTTCATAAGTTGACATAAGTCGTTGTAACACTTCTCTAAGAAATGATGCTCGAACTTGAGATGTAACAAATGAGACATTACCGATAACTCGTGAATGGTTTTTTGAACTCGGGCCATATTTCTCTATTCGATGCATCTAATAAATTGTAAAATGCTTGGCAACAAGGTTTGGGTCTTCATTTGTATTAGATGGATTAAATGTGGACCACTCGCATCCATCACCATTGTGTGGTGTCGATTGACTTAACAATCATCAAATATTTATTCTTGTTGAACATAATTAATTGAATTGTCATAAATGACCGAATCATTCTCTCTATGACGTATCCACACATACTACTCAAACACAAAACCATATCTCATCAAATGATACTTAACGGTATCGGGTTTTTCGTAACTACGATTTTGACATTTTGTAAGTTTACATGAATATCGTATCTTAGTTTCATCCATACACTCGAATGACTAACCACAAAATTAATATATTCGTTAATCCCTTCTACAAAATGCTCATTTAATAGTCTATTAGTTAATCTAAAGTCAATCCAAGAATGATCCGAATTCATTTTAAACTCGGTAATTTTCAATTACTAATTAAATTTGTAATTACTAAAAATTTAAAATATTTATAATAACTTAATATTGTTTTTACTAAATAATTTTTAAATTATTAGTTAATTTTGTAATTACTTAACACTTTACTTAATCAACAACTAAATAAACTTTTTCACTTATTAATTTTTAATTACTAATTCTAAATTCAACAAGTATTAATTTTTTTAAATACTAATTTTTTTTAATTACTAAAAATTTAAAATATTTCTAATAACTTAATTTTGTATTTACTAAACATCATTTCAGAAAAACTTAATTTTTTAATTCTTAATTAATATTCTAATTACTTAACTACTTAGCTTAATGAACAACTAAATAAACTTAATTACTAATAAATTTTAAAATTAATAAATAAATATAACAATTGGAATAATATTTAAATTATTAATTAAGTTTATAATTACTTAACACCTTCACTTAATGAAGAACTAAATAAACTTAATCACTTATTAAGTTTTTTAATTACTAAATCCAACTTCAACAAGTATTAATTTTTTAATTACTAATTATTTTTGAAATTACTAAAAATTTTAAATATTTCTAATAACTTAATTTTGTATTTACTAAACATAATTTTAGAAAAACATAATTTTTTAATTCTTAATTAATATTCTAATTACTTAACTACTTCGCTTAATGAACAACTAAATAAGCTTAATTACTAATAAATTTTAAAATTACTAAATAAATACAAAAATTTAAATAATATTTAAATTATTAATTAATTTTGTAATTACTTAATACCTTTACTTAATAACAACTAAATAAACTTGATCACTTATTAATTTTTTAATTACTAAATCTAAATTCAACAAGTATTAATTTTTTAATTACTAAATATTTTTGTAATTAATAAAAATTTTAAATATTTCTAATAAATTAATTTTTTATTTACTAAATATAATTTCAGAAAAACTAAAATTTTTAATTCTTAATTAATTTTGTAATTACTTAACTCCTTAACTTAATGAACAACTAAATAAGCTTAATTACTAATAAATTTTAAAATTACTAAATGAATATTATAATTTAATTAATATTTAAATTATTAATTAATTTTGTAATTACTAATTAACACCTTTACTTAATGAACAACTAAATAAACTTAATCACTTATTAATTTTTTAATTACTAAATCTAAATTCAGCATGTATTAATTTTTTAATTACTAATTATTTTCATGATTACTAAAAATTTAAAATATTTCTAATAACTTATTAACAATTTTCTAAAATAAATAACTTTAAAAAATACCAACAATTAAACTAACTAAATTAATAAATAACATTTAACAATAAACTAACTAAATTACCAATTGACAATTACACTAATAACAATAACAATTAAATTAAAATAATAAAATAATAACAATTAAATTTTTTTAAGAATTAAATTAATAATTTAAACTCTCAAAATTAACAACAATTATATTTTGTTAACAATTAAACTAACAAAATTAACAATTAACAATAAATTAATTAAATAAAAAATTAATAATAAAAATAACAAAAATAACAATAATGATAAAATTAAAAATTAAACTCACAATTAACAAAAAAAATAACAATTAAATTTATTTAATAATTAAACTAACTAAATTAATAATTAACAATAATATTAATTAAATAAACAATTAACAATAACATTAACAACATAATTAACAATTAAACATTTAAACTCTCACAATTAACAAAAATTAATACCAATTAAATTTACTTAACAAATGAACTAACTAAATTAATAAATTACAATAATATTAATTAAATCACCAATTAACAATAACCACAACACATGTAATTAACAATAACAATTAATTAAATTAACAAATAATATTTAAATTAAATCAATTAAATAATTGGAAAAGTTAAAAAATAAAACAAGGGGTTAGATGAGGGAGGACCTTTGACCAACACAAGGAGGAGAGGGAGCTGCGCCGGTGGAAGGACTTCACTCGGACCGATCCGGTCAAAAAACGACCGATGGAGGAAGAGAAGAGAAAGGAAGAAAGAAAGAGGAAAAGATGAAAGAAAAGGGGAGAGATGGAGGGAACAAGGGAAAGGAGGAGAGAGAGAGAGAGAGAGGAGAAGATTGGAAGGAAAATAAGGGAGAGGCGGAAGATTTGATGGAAAATATGGCCGGATCGACGCCGTCGCACGAGGTGAAAAAGAGAAGGGAGAGAATTTTTTTTTTTGAAAATTTTCGACCGGATGGGTTTTTAAAGGTAAAAGTTTAGCGACATACCTAAAACTCGTCTCTAAAACTCGTCGCTAATTGTCGATTACTTTTTTTAAAAAAAAATTTGAAAACATAGTCATTTCCCCTCAACGAATTAAATTTAGCGATGATCTCTAATTTTTGCAACGGAATTCTAATTTCAATTTTAGTGATGGTTTTTTTCAAAAAAATCGGGTAAAATCCGGGTAATTAGCAACGGTCAAAATCCAAAAAAAAAATTTTAAATCCGGGTAATTAACGATGGTTTGGTCAAACTCGTCGCTAAAAATGGTCGTTTTTAGAAAATTTAACTACGGTATTTTAGACCCTCGCTAAAGCGAGCTAAAACCGTCATAACTTTTGTAAATTAGCGACGATTTTTGGACCATCACTAATTTTTCGTTGCAAAAAATGGCTTTTTGTTGTAGTGTTCATCTCAATGTACTCGTGTTGATTTTAATATTTAGCGATTGATTCGTTTGGAAAATCTAAGACATATAAAGATAGAGACATGGACTTGACCAATCTAAAAAACAGGGACTCCAATCAATGCGGGGACTCCACGTTCAAGAGGAAATTGCACGTAAGACATATAAGTGTCTCTTGATGCAAAAGATACTCGTTAGAATGTTCCTTGAGAGAAGGTAAGCTCCCTAGCTTACAACCCGCAACATTAAGGTCAATAACTTTGAGTTTTAAAGACTCTTCTTAATTAATGATTGTTTATGGGGTAACTTAGATAAGCAAGAGGCATTCTCCAAAATCAAAGGATGAGAAACTAAACAAATTATTATCAATCATAGCTAAAGCCTAAAGTAACGAATGGTTTAACCTTCGAATTTGACCAATCTCAAAAACATCAATCAAAATCAAAAAGGTTGATCCAACATAGTCACCTTAGTTTTCAATGTAGTATTTAAATCCGCAGTTCTAAATGCTTTGCAAAACCAACCAAGTAGACCTATAGCCTTTAACACAAGAAAGGTAACATGACCAAAAAGAAAGTCGAATAGGTTTCATCATCTCCTTCCACTAAAAGACCTTATAATAAGACTCAATAATTAGTCTTCTATTTCATAAGTAGCTTTGAGCATTCAAAGGGTTATAATTTTCCTATGGTACTCAATTTTCTCGAGATCAAAATAAGTGTATAGTAGCATACAAGACCTTCTCCAACTCACAAACATGCTGTAAAAATTCTTTTACTACTTTATACTAATCATACACTAATTCCTTTCATTTTCAACATCATCTTAAGAGAAAAATCATTTCTAATTACAAATTCTTGATCGAAATAACTATTCTAATTTATAAACTTCAAACTTATTACACTTAAATTTATCATAATTGAATCCATATTTAACAAAAATTTACAATATATGTAAGAGAGAACATCACAAAACAAGCATAACATAGGTTGCTTTAACAACATTATGTAATTAGATTTCAATACATGAAGAAATCAAGTATAATCAGCATACATATAAACTAAAAGCAAGTTAATACTCTAATTTGTATCATCCACCAAATCCTAATCAGGATCATCTATTTCAGAACCTCTCTACTACAACATTTGTTTGTTAAGCTTCTAAAATATATGGAGGCACGTGTAGAGTTTCGGTAAGTGCATCTTCTCTAGCCCATCTAATGGGGTCAATCTAATGGGGTCATCATCACATATATCATCCGCATCATTGTTAAAATCATTATGCTTTTCCCAAAAAACATCTTGAATATTCGGACAATTGGATTGTTAAAGGTTAAATAAATCTCTAAGAACCTTTTTCATAACATAATGAAGGCCTTCCAAATAGGATATTCAACATAAAAAACTTGATGCACTTGAGAAGCCATATCAAAAGGACCATTTGAGTAATGTAACTTTTTAAAGTTTACACAAGTAAGCTCATATTTATCTCTCTTAACTTGAAACCAAACACACCTAAATAATACAACGCTAAAATGGCCCTAATAATTAATTTCAACTATTTCACCAATTGAGCCATAGTATGTGACATCTCGTATAATAGGATTTTGGTCCTTAGCACTTGCAAAACTAGGAGTTAATGTTTGCAAAGTGACTCCACTATTTTGTGTTTTGCATCATGCATCACATCTTGCATCCATTTATAAAATACATAGCTTATCTCTTTGCCACAAGATTTAGTCCTTTAGACAACCACAATTTATGGTTTGGCACTTACTCATTCAATACTTTTTCTTCAAACCAAAATATAAAATCTTGGCTATGGTTTTGTGCTCTTGCCTATGTACATGATCTCGCTTTAATTGTTAATGAAATTTTGATGCCCTCTCGCATTGAAAAGATCACCATACATATCATCAAACATGTGCAACCTAATGAACAAGAAAAAGAAACTAGATTATACATTAATGAAATTGTCTCACTCGATATAATTCTCAACACGTTTGTCTCCATAATTGAACAAGGCATAAAGATGTGGTTGTGCCAAAGATTGATAGCCTAAAGTGAATGCTTTGCCTTTTCTCTTCCTCTTTCCCCTATAGAGTGGCCTATCTTAGGAAAAATAGGTGATGATTCTTCACTAATTGTGATCGTATATATTATGCATATATCTTGAGCATAAAATTAAACATTCCTCAACCAAATATGCTTCTGCTATGGATCCTTCGAACGACTTCGATTGCGAACGAATGAATTTAACTTACGAAGTCCTATTCAATCAAAAACATCCAATGATAATGCACCAGGCCACCAAGTTTAATTTCATATACTAAATGGATAGGCAAATGCACCATTATATAAAAAAAGATAAGAAGAGGAAAATTAATTTCAAGTCGAAAAAGTGTCTCAACAATTTCTTATTGTAACTACTAAAGCTTTGTAGCTTTACTACTTTGCTACATTCTTTGGCAATGTCTTTCTTACAAGAACTTGAAGTAAATAATGCATGATAAAATGAGCGTTATGGCTCTCATTCCTTGAAATCTTTTTCTCCCTTACTTGCACACATCATGTAATATTTGATATACACCCTTATGGTAATTTTGCTTCCTTCAATACTCGTACGTAATAGTGTTTTCTCTTTGGGGGTCATAGAAAAACAAGCTTTAGCTAGCCCAATCTTCCCATCCTTATTTGATCGAAAAGGTTAAAACTCCTTCCTTATACCCATCTCTCGTAGATCAAACCACGTATTTAAATGATCTTTTTTCTCTCTCAAAATATAACAATATCTCCAACACATTATCACATTTATTTTTCTTTATATGCATTACATCTAAATTGTGGTGCAATGTACTATCTTCCTAATATGATAATTCAAAAAAGATAGACTTTTTCCTCCATAGATCATCACTCTTTGTCATCTTCTTCTTTTGTGTTTTCCCAAACACATTGCTAAAGTTAGATAACTTATCTAAAATTTCAAACCTTGATAAAGAAGTCGGTTCCCCTCTCAACTCCACATCTCTATTAAAAGATTTTTTTTTTTATCAAATCACCATGAATGATGCTCATCTAAAAATCTTTGATGACCCATACTCGTATTTCATAATTTCATTTAGGGTATGCCAACTTCCTTTTAGTGCTCCATCCGGATAGCATTGCATAGGCTAGAAAATTAGTAATTATCCATAACAAGGTGGTATGCATACAAAAAGTTTGGTTTGTTAAAGTGTCATAAGTATCAACACCAACCTCTCATAAAGTCTTTAGTTCTCGAATTAGTGATTGCATGAATATGTCAATGTCTTTTTAGGGGATTTAGGGCTCGGAATTATCATAGACAATAAATAGTATTCAAGCTTTCTATAAATCCATGACGATAAGTTATAATTGATTAACACCATTGGCTAGGTGCTCTAAGAAATGCTCATATTTTAGAATGGATTGAATCCATCACTAGCAAGACCCATTCTTACATTTCAAGAATCTTATGCAAACATAGGGTGAAGATGATCAAAAACCTTCCAAGTTTTCCCATCAACGAGGATGTTTTAGATTTTCATCAATTGAATGATCCGTGACATGCCATCTCATTACCATAGTTGTTTCTTCACACATGAACAACCTTTGAAGATAAGGTGTCAAAGGGAAGTATCTTAACACGATCGGGATTCGGTAAGTACTAGTTGATTTGCTATTGATATCTCTTTGAAAATTTTCATCCAATATATACCTAGATGCACCATAAATATGACAAAAAGTAGTATTTTCATGCTTTTTCCAAAATAACATGCATTCATTTAGGCATGCATGAATTTTTTGATAATCAAGACCTAAATCTCTAACTATTTTTCTTTCTTTGTTGAAAGATTCTAGAAGTTTTACATTAGGAAAAGCCTTCTTCAATATCTCCAAAAGATCACCAAATGCAATATTACTAAGTCCATGGAGGCACTTAAAAAGATATAACCAAATGGTGAAAGAAAATCTTGAGAAATTCTTACACTCTAGATACAACTATTGTTTTCCTTCCTCCACCAACTTAAAAAATTTCTCAGCCTCTTTAGTTGGGCCTTCTAGAACTCCTTGGGCGTTGGCAACTCCTTCAATAACATTTCTATAAACATCATATAACATGCCATCCATGTCATCAATATTTTTTAGTCCCACATCATCGAAGGAAGAATCTTCATTATGCATTCTTAATGATAATCCCTCTCCATGGAAAGCCCATTCGTTATACCCTTCAAGAAAGTCATTTGTAATCAAATGATCATGCATAATCATTCTAAACTTCCAATAGTGATTGCAGCATCATTTGCAAAGGCAAAGAATCTCTTCCTCTTAAGCTACTCTTTGAAATGCCTTATCCAAAAAATCATCAACTCCATTCATATATGCTTCACTAATTCTTGGAAGAGTCATCCAACTCTTATCCATAACTTGAAGTTTTTAACATAATGAATTATTATTACAAATTATAATCTACGTAACGCACAAAAAGGACAAGTAATAAGAAACCTTTCAAATGCTAATCAAGCATTTCCTTAACAAAATTCGACCACAAAAAAGGATAGTAATAAAAAACCTTATAAATCTCTAGTGGAAGGGAGTCAAAACCTTTAATGTTGCGGCTTGTATCAATATATGTTTTTTTTTAGTCCAACATCCAATGAAAGGATGCATGACATCTTATCCTAAGTGATAATATCTAGTTTAGCACATCACAAAAAGGCACAACAAGTTAGTCAAGGTTTTGATTTGATAATGAGAAGCATAGATTTAGGTATCCCACTTTCATTTAAAAAAAACACCTCTAGCCTAGGTTTCTCCTACAAAACATATCTGGTCGGCAATATTATCTCTCATCCAATCTAACCTACTACTCTAGAAATCACGTAATTAGGATTGGATCCAATAATTGTTTTACATGCCCCACTTATTGTGTAATTCGTGTGAATGGCAAAAGGAAGCAAAAAGAGGAGCCACACTTATTGACCTATTTTTGATAATCCGAATGATACCGTTTAGTATAAAACAAACACAATAAAGAACAATAAACATGTTTGTTATCAAACAAGAAAAGAAAGTATCCTGCAAGCTTTAAAATTCGTAGACCCATGTGACTTTGAACTTTTCCGTTGGCAATAAGAAGACAGGGTGTCCGAATTATGAAAGAAGATATAACACATTCAAACAATAAATGAGGAGGCATGAGGTAAAGCTTATTTTTAATGCTGCTAGGCATCTCGATTGCATAAAAAACTAGGTAAATTTTAATTTCAAGTGTAGTACTCACTGTCTAATAGTGTTTAAAGGAATATAGTAACATCGAAATTACAAAGATGACTTAAAACGAAGGCTAAAAGATCAACTCCAAACCTATTCTCCTCATGGAACAAATCTCATATGTTGCTATTCCTACTACCATCATTACCTATATTGTTTGGGATGAGGAAAAAATAAATTGGTTATCCGCTAGAAAGATTACCATTCTGTTGCCTCCAAGCATATATATGCCAACTTAAGATGTGCATACATTGGTACCTTTTCCTTGTGGTCACCAAAGATACATTGCTTCAAGTCCGAGACCATCATCGGTAGACCCTTATGAAGGGATATCTTAGGTTCCCAATCGAGGAGATCTTTAGCCTTTTGTAGATTAAAGAGGTGGAAATTTATCCCAAATAGGTCGGTGTATGGGGCCTCATTTGTGGTTGTTATTAGTTGAAGATTTATTATTATTAGAATGATTTCAACAAACAAGGGCTTTTTCAAGAAAATAGAAGAACCACCATCAAAATGATATGCCACCTTGAGACTCATTTTAAGGTTCGTAAAATTCATTTTCTTTGGATTGCCCAACCGGGATTGGAGTAGAACATCCGAGAACCCATCCAAGATACTTATTTTATTTCCTATATTAACCCACCTAAGAAACTTATTTCATTTTCTAAAAACCTTAGCATTTTTGGACATGTTTGGAATAAAAGATGCACAATGGAACATGTTGGAAAGGAGAATATTCAAGTATTAACTATTTAAATGTAAGATGTAAAACTCACTAAAATACGATAATACTACACCTTTTTTTCTTCTCATATTAACTCACAAAGCGTTAGAGATTTTTTTATCCCTTTAAGCGAAAAAGAAAAAATTAAACCCTAGCCGTCTTCCATCATGTCTAACGTTGAGTTCAAGTCTACAACAAGAAACCAGACAAATTAATAGACTCAATAATTCCCATGTTCCCACTTCAAATTCCCATTCCATCTAGATTACTACCATAAGTCCGAATGGAGGGAATTTTCTATGCCGATCCCAATCAGTGCACTTGTATATCCTTGGCGAGAGGAAAATTTGGCTACCCGAAATGATAAAATAATAAACTTGCTCTTAAGGATCCAACCTATCCCACTTAGGATGCTAAAAATTTGATGACGATGACCTAGTTGGTGATCTTTATGGAGGATATTAGCTCCAACTATGTGTTATCACACCAAAGAGCTTTGGGACAACACTAATCAAATGTCCTCAATTTGGGAAACTAGCCTCAAGGATATGAATTGACATTGAAACTTGAAGAAATCGCCAAGGATAATGTTACCAAATACTTTAATTTTCTAAAACATCTCGTGGAAAATTTAGATTTATTCAAGTGATTATGAGTGGAAATTCTCAAAGGATGGCAACCACTATAAGACAAATGTGGAAGATAACTATATATTTAAATTCCTTATTAGACTTAACGTTGAGCTTGATAAGTTAGAGGTAGGATAATTGGCAAAAAACCCCTTCTATATACCGAATAAGTTTTTTCTAAAGTTCGTCACGAGGAGACTTGCCGCCTCGTCATGCTCGATAAGAAAAATTTGTTAAAAATTTTACAATTATTGCTACCGCAATCATAGAAAGCTTGATCGAAGCCTCATGTGTTGTGTGATTATAGCGACAAGCCACGACACACCCGTGAGACGTACTTAAAGATCCATGGTAAACCAATAAATTAGAAGGGAAAACATGAAGGCAGCATTCATTTGCTCTCTTGCCACACATGAAGCGAAGCTATTCCATTTAAAAAGAGCAAACATATTATATTCAAAACTCGCTAAAATCTAATTCTAGATATTTAAACCTTCTTGCTATCCGACATTTAAGAGACTTCTCCAAAATAATGAATTATTTTACTTATTTTATATTTTATTAGAGATGTGAGGTAACCAACGTTTTGGAGTCGTCACCTAATATTAAAAAAACTAAAAACATAAAAATGGAATTGAATTAAGAGATTTTAGAATAAGAAGTTGGTTATTCTTTTGAAAATATATCAATCACCCAAATATATCATTTTTGAAAAAAGGCACCATGTTTGGTTTAATCCAAGTTTATCTCCTAAAAATTTCTATTTTTGCCCAATTAATTCTTGAGTTATTTTTCAAGTTTATTATCTAAGCCAAATTATTATTATTTTTAGTTTTACTTGTGGGATTATATTGAATCGATTGTTGGGCCTCGTTATTGAAAGTATCGTCAATTCAACATCGTATTCGGCTTTAAGTCTCGACATAACCAAGTATGTTAGAGAACGATCTAATTACTAAGGTCTTTAATTCGATTCAATTAGCAACATCGATCCTTATCGGATATGAGACTTGTTAAATTAACTTAGCATTTTCTCTATTTTTCTTTTGTTCTTTTTTTTTCCCATTTTTATTGTCTTTAACTTTTTTTTTTGACATTTTTTAGAGTTATGGAGTTGATGGAGGATTATCATCAATCCTTAAAATTCGGGGGACTCAACGATTTGTCATCATAGTAATGACCTAATTAAACTAGCGAATATTAAATAATGTTTAATACTAAATAAATTTGAAATTAATTCAAAAAATAAAAATATTTAATAATAACTTATATGCAAGCATACAATCATTCACTAAAAATTTTAGATTTAAATAACATTAAACAAATAAAGTAAACTAAAATTTAAATAATTTAAGATAATGAATAACTAGGCATGAAATTGAATAGATTCAAAATAAATGGGCAAATGAACATAAAAATTTCTAAAAATAAAACCTAAACTTAGAATATACACATGAAATTTGCATAAGAAATTTCAGATTTAATTGAGCAAAAAAAAAAAAATTATTAGGCCTTTGGGAAATGGCTTTCGAGCTACTGGACATGTCCAAGCCTAACAAGGCTAAACTAGCCTAGTAAGCCTAGCCTTCGTTTCTTTTTCCTCACCGAGCCGTGCTAGGCCTAACTTCTTTTTCACCTCCTTTTCTCTCTCGGGCTCGTTAAGCCCAATCTTTTTCCTTTTTTCTTTTTTTCCCCTAGCTCGAAGGCCTCTTTTTCCTTTTTCCCTTACTTTTCTTTCCTTTCTTTTCCCCGGACTCACACTTCCTTCCTTTTTTTTTTTATATTTTTGTCCTTCTCCTTTACCCGGACACAATATCGGTATCACTAAGCCTCTCATGAACTCGCATCATCATCATCCTAAACGACCAAACCTCACAGACTTTCCTCTCATATTCCCTTGATAGTGAATCAACAAACAAAAAAGGAGAAGGGATTAATTCAATCACAATGACAATAACAAAGACAAAGTCACCGTCATTTTGAACAATTAGGAAAGTAAAATCAAAACTAAACTGAACAATCTAAAATCGAATGGATGAAGAACATAACCGATGAACTTAGATGAGAATGTGGGATTGAAAAAAATGGTTGTGGTTGCTGTATTTTCTCTATTTGTAGGAGCCCAACGGTGGTAATGGCTAGATTTTATTGCTTGTTTAAGACCCAAAAATGACTTAAAAATGTTCCCAAGATTGGGACCAAATGATTGTGGACTAAAAGGGTTCTATAATCTAGAAGAGTGCTAATTTTTCTTGCCTAAAAATCAAGTTGTTCTTCCTCTCTAAGAACTTAGAAAATCAAAGCCAAAAATCCTTCATTCCTTCCCCCACTTCGACCCTCTAATCAATTCAAATAACCAATTTATGCTCCTTATTTGTTTTCTTTTCTATTTTAAAAGTTTTCTTTTTTATATAGTATGTCTTACGGCCAAAGCAAAGGGAAGGACAATGAGTTGGCATGAGAGAGAGGGTGTACCTAGTGTGAGCTGGATAACAAAATTCGAAATCAAAATCTATTTCTTCATATTTTGTTTTTGGAGGAGGAAATGCATAGTACACAACTCGTGTTTTTGTGTTTCTTTAATCGGATGACAAGTCGCCTATAAGATAAAGGCATTAAAATCCATCCCGTCGTTCATGTCACTCCTTCACTCTTGTCCCTTCGTGTTTCAATCTTTCATAATTACACTCCCGATTTTCAATTCAATATTTCACCTCTATTGGCTTTCAATTTCAGTCCCTATTTGATTCAATTACATCCTTATTTCATTTAATTTTGTTCCTAATTGTTTTTCAATTGCAATCATGATTGTTTTGAATTTCGAGTCCTTATTTCATTCAATTATACCCCTAATTAATTATGCCATGAAATTTTGGTATTTTTTTTTATCATTTCTTATTTTTTGTTCTTTTTCTTTTCCTTTTTCTTTTTCTTGCAAAATGAGAGGAAATTGATTATATATATTTTTGATAAAATGAAGAATGATTTGTAAAAATCTTAAAATTAAAAATGAAGCTAACAAAGGTAAAAATAAAACAAGATAAAATAAAATAAAATAAAATAAAAACAATAAATGAATAAGAAAAAATAAATATAACCTAAAATTTGGGTTATGACATTCCTAATGCTTTACTTGCACAAACATGTAGTGATTTAAATGCTTTAGTTTGTCATTTATTTTCAAATTATGCTCCTTAGATTATATATTCAAGAGCTTTTGATCACATGACAAGTTTTTCTCATTTGTTTCACAATTATATACCTTGTTGTGGTCATGAAAAAATTTGTATAGCGAGATAGTTCATTTCCCCAATCGCTAGTAGAGGTTTTAATAAAGGCTAATTGGTTCAATAGTACTATGTACTATGCATTAATCGTGATTGGTACTTTGAACTAAAATTTTTTAATTTGAGTATCATAACTATTTTTTAGTTTGTAATCAAATCTTTCGATTCTATTGACCAAATCTCGAGTATGTTTTTCACACGTGATGTTGACATGACCTAATAATTAAATGGCACGTGGACAATTCGTCGATGATATTTGTTTTTCCAACTAACATGACTTTGTAAAATTACAAAATACCCCCTCTTTAAATTAAAACGAAAGATAAAATTTTTGGTTTTATTAGTTACTTTTTATCCTTTTTTTCCCTTCTTTATTTTGTTTTCTTCCTTTCCTTTTTAAAATGAAATTTCATATCTTGTTTTATTTCAATAGATTTTTTCAAAAATTCCTTTCCTTAACTTAATCAATCTTGCTCTATTTCTCCTTTTAGTTTCCTTATATAAATGCAAAACTCCTCCACCTATAATTCTAAAACAAAATAAATTTTTTTTTCTAACTAGACTAGATACTAAAAAAAGTCTTAGACATACCCATTTTAGTTCTCACCAAATTATACATAATCCCTCTTTCAATTTCCAATCTTGACCACTCTACAAACCTTAATTCACGCTCTCTCTTTCCCCTTCATTTCTTTTTACTGCAGACATAATTCTCCATAATACATGATGATTTGAAAATCTAAAGCATCTCCACATTAATTCACACCAAATTATCTA